GTGTTCATGGTTCTATATAGAACCCCTGTCATTAGTAAAGAAGCGTCTTTTATTAAGAGCCTTTAAGAATGATCTCTTTTAAGAGTGTAGGCTATAATTTAAAAAAAATTGCAGCTCTTGCGATTTGAAAATTGCACTTGTCTTAAATTGCGATTTCGATAAAAAAAACGATTAATCTTCCAGTTCTGGTGGGAGTTCTCTTATCATGACTGGGATTCAGAATCAGAACCTTTTATTTTCCAACTAGGTATTTTTGTTTTGGTGCAGACGTCCACTAAGCACGGCACTATGAAAATGTCTTGTGACCAAAAGTACCACAGTACAAAGCACTAATAGACACTGTAGTCATTTCAAAAGTGGAGCATAGACCACAAGGGGAATTCCTCCAATTGTTCAAATTTTCTGCATATTTCAATAATAAGATGTAAACACAGTCAGTACGGCTGTTTTATGTAGAATGGTTCATTGTAGAGAAACTTACTCTTTCTTTACATTCATGGCATTTGGCAGACACTTTTACACAGGTAGGCAAAGGTAGTGTTTGGAGTCTTACCCAAGGACTCTTGTTGGTATAGTGTAGGGTGCTTACTCAGATGAGGATTGAATCCCAGTCCACAGCGTAGAAGGCAGAGGTGTTACCCACTACACTATACCAACCACTTTACAGTGGTGGTGATCGGGACCAGGGGTCCCAATGTCTGCAACACAAATATAGCCGTTTTATTTACTATTTCAAACCACCAGTGAACCTACGAGTCTTCATAATTTTTTTTTTTTAATAATGGTAAAATAAACCATTCTGAATCTGAATAAATCTAAATCTAAATCTGAATAAAATAAGTTTTCTTTGGGGACTGTTTTATTTTAGACGTAAGCCTTTCCATGAATGTATTGTAAAAGTGTGTGTTTTAGGTCAAAACCTTGTCAAATTTCATAAAATAATATTTTAGGCACCAGCTAACTTACGCTTTTAGAAGCAGTGGACATTTTGGTTGTCTGTCACCACCACTGTGAACAATTCAGGTCCACTTACAGTTTATTTTTACATGACCATTTTCCAACCTGTCTTTATCCCTTAGAATCAAACAGTTACTGTGTAAGACTGATATAAGTAAAGGACCTCTGTTCTGATTGGCTGCCCTTCATTGTGCTTAGAGCTTAAATATGAATGGGCAGAGCTAAATGCTGTAGCCTGAATACAAACAGGGAATTCAAAACAGGTTGTTTGTGCAGCCTGGTTTCCATATATGGACTGGAGAGTGGAGTGAGTGTTGAGTGAAACATTAATAGTGTTTACATGTTACTTAAGTTTCTTTGATTTGAAAGAGTTTGTGCTGTATGAGCCCTTAAAAAGGCGCTTCTTGTACACAAAATACTTTTCATTAAGGCAAAAATATGTGCAAAATGCTATGCAGAACATTAAATATGTGCACTGAGTGTTACGTACAGATGGCACAATGGAAGAGAAAGGTAGTCAAGAAAACACTGAAGATTCTGACGGGAGTTTCCAGCAATTCCATGAGTTAATCACTGTTCTTTTCAGCACTCAGCACTCGCACTAATCTCACTAAAGCTTGTCTAATAAGTTCACATGCAGTGGAGCCATGTGGTCATGTTTGTGTTCTGTGCTTTAGTACAGAATCAAGGCCAGTGAGCAGCATTGTGAGAGTGTATTTCTGTTCAAACCCTTCAAATCCATAAAAAAAAGTGTAAAGTTGTTATTGTGCTTAGGCCTGTCACGATTGGGAAATTTAGCTGGCAATTAAGTGCCATATAAATAGTGGTGACTCACCACAATATCTTGGGGTGTGGGGCTAATTTTCAGTATTATGCGTGAGAGTTGTTCGTTAACTTGTACACAGTACGGGCGGGAGCGGGACCACACATACGTGTAGAGAAATCCTACGGACTATGTGTAATGAATAATCTGAAATAATCTGAAAAATGAAAACAATCACTTAATAACTACAATAAATGCATAATATCCAACGGCAAAATACCGAAAATTAATAAACTCATTGTAAACCAGCTGTACAGGACTGTGGGTGGGAGTGGGACAAAGCATTTAGGTTGCAGGTGGGTGCGGGACAAACAGTGCAGATTTTCTGCGGAAGCAGGACTAAAAATCTGTCCTGCCAAACCGGCTCATTAGCTAAATAACTAACTGTTACCTGTTGATACTGAATAGCTCCCAATTGATGAGAGAAGTAGTTTGAGCTCAAATAAACAAACATTAACCACCGCTGCCGTTTAAAGGTGTTAACAACGAACATTACTTACCTAATCATATGATTTTGAAAGCGAACGACTTTGGAAAATAACTGCAATCAGCTCAAATAACTGCAGTCTATGTAATAATTGCGACGGGTCTAGTTGTTTACAGTCTTGTTTTGCGGGGGGAAAAAAGCATCTTAGCCATGTTTTTGTCATTTTTTAATCGGGAAAAAAGTTGGAGACTCCTTTTAATTGTTGTTTATGTAATTAAATGATATATTAATGATTGTTGTAATTGCATGTTGCTGTTGTCAGAAGAAAACCTCGTATCTCCAAAATGGTAACTTTGCAGGAGAAGGAAAAAACCTACTTTTAATGTAAGTCAGTGGAACCAGACTTTCTTCCAAGTCATTTTGGGTCGTTTCTTTTAGTCTATTCATCATGACATTTACATACAATGTAAAGGGCAACAGGTATTTTCAAATTATGTCAAAACCTGAAAAACGTCAAAAATGGAGATACGAGGTTTTCTTCCGACAGCAGCGATATTTACATCTAAATAGTAAAGCAAAATGACAATAATAACTCTCATTAAGACTTTTGAGGATTTGCTGAAATTTTTATGGCTAAAATATCCCATCTGCACGGCAGAGCGTCTGTTCAACTTAGGTTGCTGAGTTGTTTTTCGTGGTATTACGTGCTGATATGATACTGGTATATTTTCAGAATGTGTCATAATGTGATTTATTGTGCGGCCCTGCTGAGGCCCTGAGAGTCAGCCAAGCGCTAAAGCGTCTTAGCGTACCGAGGCTGGCATGCTTGGCCTTATGTAACTGTAAGATCTTGTGAGTTTTGTTTTTGTAAAATACTGTTTCGGTAATGAAACGGATGAAGCGCAGTGAGTTTCGTTCCTGCGCTCCTGAGCCTCTGAGCCTTTGTAATGACATATCCAGCCCTGCTTCCCTCCGCGACCTGCTGGCCTTTTTTTTATGAGTGAAAATATTTAGGCGAGGGTGTAATTTAGAGGCCGTACACTCGGTCGCGTGAGACCGTGTTTCCTCCAGGAAAGGGGAACGTGTCATTAACGAGAGAGAGCGAACATATATCAAAACAATATTTACGCTAGTCTGCTAAGCGTGTCGCAGCAAGACGAGAATTCGGCGGCGCTTTGAGTGATGCCCGCAAAGCCGCGTCTCACGACGTTTTTCAGTTTTCATAAATCTCTCTCGCATTCAGAAACAGTTTTCCTGCCTCTGACTGTTTGTTTCAGTGAATACAGCACGATTCTTTGCGTTTGACAACCAGTTCTTTACAAGGCTAAATAAAAAGCTCTGAGGCGTAATCCCGTCCGTCATCCTCTCCTCTCGGGACGGGTTGGTTGTTTAGCTTGGCTTTGTTTATGTGAAGAATCGCCACTTTTTCATTCAGTGCTTCACTGAGTGATATTTGTAAACACTTTGGTTTGGTAGTATTTAGGAAGGGTGTGTGTGTGTGTGTGTGTGTGTGGGTGTGGGTGTGTGGGTGTGGGTGTTGAGTGTGTATATGCTGGCCTTTTTTTCTTTTTTTTTAATTACTAGAGACACTAGAAATGTGTGATCACAGTTTTCATCTGTACAGCTTTTAAAATGACTGTGTAGCTTAAAAAATCAATCAACCTTTATTTAACCTTGGAAAACATTGAGGGTGACCCTCATTTACGATGTTGCCGAGTTGGTACAGGAAAGTGGATTGATAATAATTAAGAACATATCAAATTATAAAAGTAAATTTAATAAAAAATGACTCGAATAAGGTAAGTATAAAAAACGAAACATTCATAATAAAAATACATAACAATACAGTAGAAAATATAAAACAATAATTAAAACGTAGCTAAAATGTAAAAGTTAATAAAATCAAATCAAAATAAAACAAAAGAATAAGATCAAAACGAAAAAAACTAAAAATGAATTTAAATGACTAAAATAATAATAAAATAATCAGAATTAGAGTAATAATAAGAATATGAATAATAATAAATAAACAAATAAATAACAAAATAATGAAAATAAGACAATAGTAGTAAAAAATCAGGTAAAACAGTGTCAGGCAGAGTGGAGGTGGTTAGAGAGTAAAAGTTTAAAGTGACTGAGTGACCCAGCTGAGCTTCAGTGTGTCCTGTAGTGAGGGTCCAGTTCGCTGGTGCTCTGGAACTAAAGGCAGATTTTCCCATTTCAGTAAAAACCTTTGGTACCTGGTATGTGATCCAACCACAGGAGCGAGTCTGATAAGTATTTACAGACAGTAGCTTTCACTCTGAAGCCTGAATTATGTCCATACTTGTATCTGTTTTGCTGATAACAGTCAAACTGTGTTATAAACTACATGATCAAGGCTGTTTGAGATTACATAACAGCTTGGCACAGTTTGAGGCAAGTGTGTGATGATTTAGGTATGCAGTTTGATGTTAATTGGTGTGTTATAAGCTTCTGTGTTTGCTTACATGTTAGCTATGTTAGCCTTGTAGCTCCAGAGCAGAGCTAAAAACACTTCAGACACCAAAAGCCTTGGCTGATCAACTGAATGTGGGTTAAGAGGTAAAAAAACATTGTTATTAGATTGATAAACTATTGGCTGCAGCTGCAGTGGGACATGCTCACGGTTTCATGGTACAATCTGACTCTTGTGATTAAGATGATGGTGGTAATTTTTTGGTTTCTAATCTCGGTTGAACTGAAAGCTGTATTGTTTTCTGTATTTTATTTTTAATATGTTCTATTTTTCTCTCTCTCTCTCTCTTTTATTAGCGCTGACGTTCAGCAGCAGTATGTCAGGTCGCGAGTCCTGCCCTCGTCCGGCTCCTCTCAACTCCATCACCGTCTCCAAGAAGCGCAACTGGCTGCACCAGAGCTCCACCCGACTCTTACACCACCTGGACGATGTCCCGGCGCCCCGCACGCCCGAGGACGACCATGTAAACACGAACCCCATCATCGTCCTGTCTCAGGACGCCCCGCCCCTGCGCCTCGTCGACCCCGCCGAGGAGAACGATGCGGACGATGAAGGAGAAATCTGGTACAACCCCATCCCCGAGGACGAGGAGGCCGATCTTCCTCACTGCGTCCCTGCTGTCCAGCCGCTGCTGCTGCAGCCCCCATCGCCGGGCTGGGCTGGGGGAGCCCCCAGACGGCCCAGTGCAGGGGGCGAGGAGGGGAGAGCGGGGGAGGGAAGCAATGGAGAAGCAGGAAAAGCAAATGTCACACATTCCTGCGAACAGAACCATCTGCAGAGACAGATGTGCCGGCCAGATGTGCAGGAGAGCCTCCCAGCACGGACAGCAGCTACAGGTACACCTGCGTTTCCACCTCCTTCTCTCTCTTTCTCTTTCTCTCACTTCGTTTTCATAACAGTCGCTCCTCTCTCCAGCTGTTGGCTGCTTTGGAGGCGTGTTGCTACAATGAAAGCAGGTTTTGCTGTCCAGAGTAAATGTGGCCACACATATTCCTTAGAATTTTCACTGGTATAATTACCTTTGTGTCAGTGGCCTTTAGGGCTGCATGCTATAGAGATTAAATGCGATGTTGGAAAAAGCTGTTGGATGTCACAGTGACGATGTGAGAGGTAATAAATTATGATTAAAATAGTGTGTCTCTGACTGGGTGTGCAGCAAGTACAGACCCTGATGTGTTCATTTATTTATTTCCCCATTTTTGAACTGTGCATGTGTTTTGTTAACGGCTGTTTAGCTGAATGGTTAAGTCACTCAGTTAGAATGCAGGGTGCTGCGTGTGAGAGGTGATTTAATCTGTTCTGTCATTGCAGCCCTTAATAATGTGTTCATTATGGGATCTCACATCACAATAATGATGAAAGTATGGTTTGTTATGCAGCCCTGGCAGACATATTAACCTCTTAATTGATGCTGCTCATAAACATGTCCTCCATCTTCTCAGCACTGATTCCAGCGTTCAGCATGACTGTAGGCTGCTTGCATGATTGGCAGCTGCCCTGGAGACGTTCAGCTCTCAGCTGAATATTTGTCTGGAATTCTCAAACTTTTCTGCTCTCATCACTTGTTTTGCTCCACTTTTGCTCCCTCACTCCTCCACACGAAAAGCATCCCACTACAATGAAAGCGCAGTGTCAGACTCTGAATCTGATTCTCCGAGTCTCTCCCGCCTACTCTCCGTCAGTTTGTCTTTCTCTGGATCTGTCCTTCTCTGTAAGTCTTTTTCTCTGCCTGCTTTGCTGTATTTTGTTGTCCTCATGCACCTCCTGCACTCCTTTATCTCTCCACTGTCTCTTTTTTCTTCTGTTTTCTTTTTGTCCTTTTTCTGTTTCAGCTTAGCGTTCTTAAAAATTCTCTCTCTCTCTCTGTCTCTCTCTCTCTCTCTCTCTCTCTCTCTCTCTCTCTCTCGCTCTCTCTCTCTCGTCCGAGTGTCAGTAAATAAACTCAACTTGCTGAAAGTCTCTCTGGCAGCAGACAGAGCTGTCATCGTAATAACTACCTGCTCACCTATAGGCCATGGGCACCTGGCCATTTGGCTCCAGCTTGACATGTTTTTCTGTTACTTCACTGGTGTCACTCACTGAATTATTGACAGTGCATACTTTGAATTCGAGGCGTGTATGAGTGTGTACGTGTGCGTATGCGTAACTGATGAGCTCAGTCTTTTGGCAGTACTAACCAGAGCGTGTGTGTCAGCATGTGGCCTCTTCAGATTTGCCTTTATTTAGTAAACAGTCCGCAGCTGTACGTTATATCCGTTCATATCATGCAGGTTATACTAGTGTAATAGTGTATTAACACAGCGCTACGTAGTCCTGACTAATAGGTATTACTCAGTAATAAGACGTACAGCACTGCAGTGTAAACTGGACAGTAATTAGAGCTGCACTGATCAGGAATTTTTATGGACAATTCCAGTTCCAGTTTCTTTACACAGATTGGCTGTTGGCTCATGTATTGGTTCATTTTTTTTTAAATTAGTCTTTTATTTATTTATTTTTTTAACGAACCTCACACTGAGTGGGTAAAATATACACATGGAACTCATAGAACAATTCCTGAACTTTGTATCAGTCAAATTTGTAATATAAATGCCAAACTGCCATTTAAGGCTCTTCTATTTAAATAAGATGAATCTGTAATACTTAATTTCAACATATAATGGGAGTTCATTAAAGTCTTGATCTTCAGTATTAGATGTTTGTGATGGTCAGTTTACTGTGTGTTCAGCTTTATTTATTATGACCTGTATTAGTAAATAATTAGAGGTTATGTGAAAATCACTAGTAATGAGAACACTTTATCATTGTGATGCTGATGCTGATTTCATGATATTTTGATTGTGAAAAGCATTAAAAATGAAACTAAACCAAAAATACAAGAGTTAAATTTATTTGCTTTTAGTTGTTATAATGGATTGGAGTTAGTTGTTAAAGTAGCCCTAGCTTGTATGCTTTAGGCTACCCATAAATTATAAAGTAATAAGATGTGATTTTTTGATAAATTCATACTGTATAATTGAGGTTTTACACAGCAAAAGAGTTTATTGTGCATTATTACAACTAATCATATAACTGATATTAATTTTAACATAACAGACCTCCAATTATGCACAAATACAGGTCATAATGAAGCTTAATGCACAGTGAATACATTATTTAAAAGTGTCTAATTTGAGCTTAACTGAACCGATTTCTGACCGATTTTCTGACCGATTTCTGAATGTATTGAGATCTTTTGCTTTTGTGAGATGTTATCTTGAACACTGAGCTTATTGCCAGGTTATGAATCATCTTGTTCTTATTTTTCAGTAACATTAGTGTTTGTTATGACTCTTTAGTATCTGTTATGAAACTACTCTGTAAATTAGGCCGTGTTGATGACTGTAAGTGTTTCTTTAGATAATGCGGTGTCTGGTGCAGGTTCTCTCTGTTGGGGCTAATGGGTTGTTAGTGCTGCTCTTTCTGTTCTTTCTGTTCTGCTTGCAGCCTCTGATGTGGTGGCAGTAGCTTAGCTTCTCCGCTAACGGCTTAGCCAAGGCTGTAATTATGGCTGAGCAGGGCTGCGGTTCTCCTCAGGTGGAGGGGGCAGAACTCTTTGAGCTGCGTTTAACGCTGAGCGACTCTGAAAAACTGGGCCACTGAGACTCCACACTGTGTACTGCCACCTAACAGCATGTTCTGGGTGGAGGCGTATGGATCTCCTGTGAGGCAGCATATGTGCAGTCTGTGACGCTGTGAGCAAAGCAAAAGAGATCACATCCATTCCAATAGGGTTGTGTAGAGGCTACTGAGATGTTAAAACATTTCAATATTGATAACGAAACCAATATCTTGACTTGAAAATGAATTCCTAAACAGCGTTTTTCTTCAAACTCTTGCTGAAAGTGGGTGTGACTTTTACATTAAGGTATATTTAAGGATGACAACAGATTGCTGACTAATCAAGCATCGGCAGCATGCATACGAAATGTGATCTGACGGCCAATATGCATTCAAAAGATTGGAAAAAGTACCATAAAAGTATTGATACCTATCCTTAGTAGGGACTATATACACTACTGTGAAGCACCAGGCAAGGAAATGTTCAAAAAGATTGATCTGGTCAGCAACTGTGTTTCAGTCTGTTTAGAATAAATCAAATAAAATATTTCTAGTGTTTTATTTTTTCTTCTAATGTCCATTTATAACATTTCTGTGGTTTTATGGCCCAAAATTGGCCATAATTTATGTTTACATGACCATTTTTCTGTTTCCTTCTGATCCCTTAGAATTAAACAGCCTATTTTTGTTATCTTTAAGACTGACATATGTAAATGAGCTCTGTTCTGATTGGCCACCCTCATTCAAAAAGCGCTCAGAACTGAAACACTCCTTATAACTTCAGTGCGAACTCCCTGTTTTTGCGGCCTGGTTTCCATATATGGACGTTTAATCGTCAGCTAGAATTTCATGATGGTAATAGGCCTAGTTGAGATTACACGTAATCCAGCGCTGAGTAATCTGAGCTGACGCCGTGTGATACAGCACAGTAGGACACTGTGAGATACAGTATAGTGACACAGTAGGACACAGTGACTGACCACTGCCCTGTCGAACAGGCATCAGTGTGAGAAAGAGAGAGAGATGTGCTGTATCACTGTGCTGAGCGCTGTAACTGGACACTGTTCATCAATCCGGCTTCTACTGCTGAATGATTTAAAGGGAAAAGTAGATCCTACATCAGCCACACACACACCAACTCATACGCTACACACCCCAGGCTGGCATTTATTGGCAGGTGCTGATGACATCAGACTACATTTCCACAGAACCGATCAGCAGGCTGAGAGACGACAGGGAGACTTCCATCGCAGGGAGACTGTTGACTTATGATCATAAATATTTCAGATCAGTGCAGTTTGATATCATGGAGCGAGAGTGGAGTTGATGTGGCTGTTGCTAATGGAGCACTTTCTGTAGGCGGCATTAAGGAGGTGCTGTGTGTTGTGTGTGTTAGTGTATTGTCGGTTTGGGTGAACAGGAAAAGACGTTTCGGAGGGGCCTGCTGGAAAGCATGTGTGTATTACGTGTACGTGTTAGAGATGCACTGAAATTGGACGCCAGGTTTTTGTCCTGGACCAAAAGTGGTTGGAAAATGGCACTTATAGACCAAAAAGCCAGAAAGATGATTAAAAAAAACCTCATCAATTATTTAACGGTAATGAAAGAATGAGACATAGTGATTAAAAATGCTGTTTGTTTACTTCGCTAGACTCATTCAGATAAACAGCAAAACATTCACACAAGGCAGTATCAAAATCTGAAGTCTCCCGTTCCACCTTAAATGTTGCAACTGTTCGCTACATTGTTAACTGCATTCTGGCGCCTCAGGCATCATTTAAGGTGGAACTGGAAAATTCAAACAAAAAGCTGGCGAGTGAGAAGCGACTTCATCTTCGTAAAAAATTGAACGTTAAGAGACATTTTACAAGAAACTCTTGTACTTTTGTGGAAATGTTTCCTGCCAGAGATGCGAGAAAAGCAGCTATAGCTGAGCTAAAGCTGAAAGCAGAGCTAAGTAAGTCTGTATTTTTTAGCCTGTACTGGCACATCAGAACATACTGAGACATATTTACAGCCCGGATGGTAAAACGTTACTTCAGTAAAATGGATATAAAATGTTGTGGCTTCCAAGCTGATTTAGTCTTTATTGAAATTTGACAAAATGGCTCTTCTTTGGGTTGCCGACCCCTGCTCTAGTGTTAATATGTAAATAGGTGGGATGTTTTTTTTTGTTTGCAGTAGCTGGTGTGTGTGTGTGTGTGTGTGTGTGTGTGTGTGTGTGTTGGGGGTAATG